ACGGCTTTTCAAAACTAATCTGTACCAAGAAGAGAGCATTTATGAAAACAGATGTTTGAATGTGCTTCCACAATTACGTGCCTGCGCTGCCGGCGATGCTACAAACATCTACGCGGACACTAGACCTGCACACCGGAACATCTTCAACTCCAGAATCGCCACCTGCCCTGACGGCCGCTGAACACATCCCAGCCCAATTCATCAAGGGCCCTCAGATGATAGGTGAGTAAAACTGAGAATCAAATACCCTGCCTGGTCACCGCAGGGTTTGTGCCTTTCTCTGTGCTGTGTTTCTATGTAAATGCCGTTAATAACCAGGGACTGAAATAAACAGAACTTTTTTTTTTTTTTTTTTTTGGACACAGAGTTTTGCTCTTGTTGCCCAGGCTGGAGTGCAATGGTACAATTTTGGCTCACTGCAACCTCTGCCTCCTGGGTTCAAGTGATTCTCCTGCCTCAGCCTCCCAAGTAGCTGGAATTACAGGCACCCACCATCACGCCCAGCTCCTTTTTCATTTTTTATTTTTAGTAGAGATGGGGTTTTACCATATTGGCCAGGCTGGTCTCGAACTCCTGACATCAAGTGATCCACCTGCCTCGGCCTCCCAAAGAGCTAGGATTACAGGTGTGAGGCACCTCACCTGACCAATAAACAGAATTTAGCATTAATCTTAAATGCTCGGACTTAGGATTCAACAAGAGTTTATAAATGGGATGTGGACACATGTCTTTCATCTTTAAAAAGCATGTTTACACAATAGTTTCTGTAGCATTCATACACTGGAAAAATTTAACCATGCTTATTTCATCTCTCATCCTTCTTTTTCCCCCCCTCTCTCTCTTTTAGAGACAAGGTCTTGCTCTGTTTCCCAGGCTGGAGTGCAGGGGCATGATCACAGCTCACTGCACTCTTGAATTCCCAAGCTCAAATGATCCTCCCTTCTCAGCCTCCAGAGTAGCTGGGACTTCAGATGTGCGCCACGGTAACTGGCTAATTTTTTTTGGATTTTTAGTAGAGATAGAGACAGGGTCTCGCTATGTTTTCCAGACTGATCTCAAACTCTTGGCCTTAAGGAATCCTCCCATCTCAGCCTCCCAAAGTGCTGGGATTGCAGGTGTCAGCCACCATGCTTGGCCTTTGTCCCTTTAAAACATCTATATTTGTGTATATTTCCATGTCCATAATATATCAGGACAGAAATTGTAATTGATAATAAATGATATATATGCACATTCACATTCATTCTTTAGCACATGAAAAATGTCTGAGGGTTTTTTTTTTTGAGGCAGGGTCTCACTCTGTTTCCTAGGCTGGAGTACAGTGGTGTAATCATGCCACAGTATAGCCTCACAGCCTCCATCTCCTGGCTCAAGTGATCCTCCCACCTCAGTCTCCCAAATAGCTGGGACTATGGGCGTGCACCACCATGCCCAGCTAATGTTTTAATTTTTTGTAGAGATGGGGTCTTGCCATGTTGCCCAGACTGGTCTTGAACTTGTGGTCTCAACAGATTCTCCCGCCTTGGCCCCCTAAAGTGTTGAGATTACAGATGTGAATCACTGCACTGGCCAAGCCCACCTGTAAACCCAGTGGCCCTTGTGCGGACAAGGTAGGAACAAATGCACAAGCCACAGTCATTGGTTGAGAGCTGGGAAGGCTGAGTTAGAGGCTGCGGCGCCGGTGGAGACGTAGCTTGCTGGCATTCATGCTCAGCACCACAGGCTCTGCCTGGACTTGGAGGCGGCTGCCTTCCTGGGATCACAGGCTCTGCGTTTACACTGAAGCTCTGGCAGAGGCTCGTAGGGTGTTTTTTTCATTTTTTTTTTTTTTTTGAGGCGGAGTTTCGCTCTTGTTACCCAGGCTGGAGTGCGATGGTGTGATCTCTGCTCACCGCAACCTCTGCCTCCTGGGTTCAGGCGATTCTCCCGCCTCAGCCTCCTGAGTAGCTGGGATTACGGGCATGCGCCACCGTGCCCAGCTAATTTTTTGTATTTTTAGTAGAGACGGGGTTTCACCATGTTGACCAGGATGGTCTCGATCTCTTGACCTCGTGATCCACCCGCCTCGGCCTCCCAAAGTGCTGGGATTATAAGCGTGAGCCACCACACCCAGCCTCGTAGGGTGTATTTTTAAGCCAGAGATGTGGTTCCAAAGGGAGCTATCAGGAGAGACTTCCACAAAATCTATGCTGCTGCCTGCTTTCCTGACCCTTGCTGTGGCTTCAGCCTCATTCTCTGACCAGCTAGCTGTTCTGCCTCCCTAGGTGCAGGAAACGAGGTAATGAGGCAATGAAAAGTCCCCAGAGAGGGGTAACCATGGATGCTGTGTAACAGGCAAGGTAGCAAGGACCAGGCTCCCGCAAAGGCACCTGCCTGCCTGTTGACTCCAAATCTCTCCAACACCACAAACACTATGAGTCATTCGGGGAATGGGGTCTGCAAAACTCTCCCAGGACAGGGTCTGACATGCCTCACTCTTCCCCACAAGATGTGGGCCTGCAGTGTTTTGTTTGCCTAGATTATCACCCGACATACCTTTCTCTACCTGCCAAAACCTCCCCATCACTTCCCAGCCCACTTCTAGCGCCGTGTCCTCTGTGAAGCCTGTTTCAGGGGCTCTTTGCCTGGTCTGTCTGCACAGTGGAATTTTCTGGGGCACTTTAAGACAGAAACTGATGTCTCAGGCCCATCCCTGGAGAGTCTGGGCTGTTCGGAGCCCAGGCTGGCTTCAGTGACTCTAACAGGAAGCCTGGGTGAACACCTTCTGCTCTTGTTGAAGCCACCCCTCCTCCACCTCTGGTCACCTGCTGCACCTTTTCCGGACGTGTCCATATGGTACTCATCTTGTTATTTCTCAGTTACTTGTGAAAAAAGCAACTCTTTAGCTCTACCCCTAATATCACCCAAGACCAAGGACCGTGTCCAATTCATCTTTTTTTTGAGATGGAGTCTTCCTCTGTTGCCCAGGCTACACTGCAGTGGTGCCATCTCAGCTCACAGTAACCTCCTCTTCCCCGGTTCAAGTGATTCTGCTGCCTCAGCCTCCTGAGTAGCTGGGATTACAGGCGTGTGCCACCATACCTGGCTAATTTTTTTTTTTTTTTTTTGAGACAGAGTCTCACTGTCGCCCAGCCTGGAGTACAGTGGCACAATCTAGGCTCACTGCAACCTCCGCCTCCCAGGTTCAAGCGATTCTCCTGCCTCAGCCTCGCAAATAGCTGGCACTACAGGCGCAGGCCACCATGTCCGGCTAATATTTTTTTTTTTTTTGTATTTTTAATGGAGACGGTTTCACCATGTTGGCCAGACTGGTCTTGAACTCCTAACCTCAAGTGATCCACCCACCTCGGCCTCCCAAAGTGCTGGGATTACAGGCTTGAGCCACCGTGCCCGCCCTGGCTAATTTTTTATTTTTTTGATAGAGACGGGGTTTTGCCATGTTGGCCAGGCTGGTCTCCAACTCCTGACCTCAAATGATCCACCAGCCTCTGCCTTCCAAAGTGCTGGAATTACGGGCGTGAGCCACCGCGCGTGGCCTCCAATTCATCTTTCAACTGTGCACAGGGCGTTTCCCATCAGGGCCGTTTCCAGAGTTGCAGAATGCTTTCCCTCAACGGACCTCACAGTCTCTGGAAGCACGGCTGGGGAATGAATGGCAAACTAGGAGTCTTACCTAGGCCTTCCTTCCCAGTTGAGGCTACGTCAAAATGGGTTCCCACGAGACTGCCTGGCTCATGCAGATGAAAGGCTGGTATCTTTTTAGAAACAACCTGCACTACCCTCTCCTGTTGCAAAAGGCTGTCTGGTCAGAAAGGTGGTAGGTCACCTTAGGAAGGAAAAGACGTTGTCCTGTTTGTCAGATGGAGTTAGCCAAGGTTCAAGTTAAAAGAAAAATTCTCTAAGAAGTTAAAAATAAAAGTGCAGGGAGATTCCCACGACATCCATTTTTATCTATATTCCCTTTCTCTTACATTTCCCATGAGGCAAACTTTCTAAAACAGTCTTAGTCTTTTCAAGTTTACAAAAGGCAGCACCTAGACTACCTGAATAAAAACGACAGGGGTGCCCGGAAGAAGAGCGCACCTCTCCCACGTGCACCCTGCCTGGGCTCCATGCCGTCTCGGGGTCTCGGCTACTCACTCAGCGAGGATTTCTGCAGTGCCAGGAACACAAACCCCAACAAGATCCAATCCAGGCCTTCCCGGAGTGCACAGTCCAGAAAGCAACCCGGCGAACAAGCGGCAATTACCCCCTAAGGAGATGGCTTCATCCGCCCGACAGACACCACAGACACCAGGCGCCTGCCCCACGCCCTTGACAGCGAGGCTGTCCGGGTCCTACTGAGGCGTGGAGCCGGCTTGGGACAGAGCACAAGACACATGGGACACGATGCACACACGCGTCCTGACGGTGGGCGCCGAGAATGCGGCCCCGGCTGCTGCCGCAGGCCCCTCCGCCGGCACCAGCGGCTCCCCTTTCCCGCCCCCAAAAAGGGGAGAGCGCAGCAAACGCGCGCCGCAGACAGTGGGCCCTGGATTCGGATTCGGTAACTCCTGGGAACAAGGCGGTGGGAGCAGGCGAAATCCCCCCCGGGGGGCTTTGCCACCGCGCGCCAGGCGTCCCCGCGGCCGAGAAGCGGCGCCATCTCCGCAGGTGCGCGGTGGAGGCCTGCGCCCCTCAGGCCCGGCGCTGCCCGGCGCTACACATCCAGCTCCTGGGCGCGCAGAGGACGCGGCCCGTGGCGAGTCCGGGTAGGGCTGAGCTTCCCCGCGCGGCGCCGGCTCGGGCACTGCCCGCAGTGCGGGACACGCCCAGGACTCCAGTGGGAACCGGCGCTGCGGGAGCCGTACCTGCACCGAGCGCTGCGAGCCGAGGCCGCGTCGGGAGGGGCGGGCGCGGCTGGCGGGATTGCCGGGCCGCGGGAGGGGTAAGCAGGCCAGGCGGGAGCTGGGAGCCGCCCGAGGCCGGAGCCAGCCGGCGGTGGTGGGAAGAGCGGACCCATGTGGGGAACAAGCGCGCGAGCGGCGGGTCCCGGCGGCACTCACCGAGCCTGGGCGCCGGGGCGGCGGCGGCCGGTGCGCGGCCCTCTCGCGGGGTCCCCTCCCTTGGCCACCCGGGCTCCGCTCCAGCCTCGCAGGGGCGGCGGCACTGACAGCTGCGTGGCCGCCCTGGAGGGGAGGGGGCGCCTGCGACCCAGGACTGGCGGACGCACCCGCCGCTACGGCTCCTGCAGGGGGCGCGGCGGCTCGCGCGTGCGCACTCGGTCGCCCCTGCAGGTGCCCAGTCCACCCCGGGCCGCCTCGGCCGCTCCGGCCAGCCCAACCCCGCGCCTGCGCAGTGCCTTGTGCATGTCGTCCTTGCCCGGCAGAGGGCGCGCCGACTTGCGCGTGCGTAGTCGGCCACCTTGCGGGTACGCGGCCCGCACCTGGCCACTTGGCAGTCCGCGCCTGCGCACTGCCCTGCGCCAGCGCCTATGTCCGGCAGGGGGCGCGCGGCGGCGGTACCGAGCGAGCGGGGCGGCGGCCTCTCCGGGGAACGACTGCGCTCGTGCGTTTCCGAAGAGTGAGAAGCTTTCACACCGGGAAATTGGACTCTGGCGGTTCTTCCATTTCCCGTTACGCACTGTCTTACCGTGGGCTCTCGTCACTCGTGGCACCGAGGGAAGCGCTTCTTCGCCTCTGGCCAGGCGCTGGGGCGCGACAGAAGGCGAGGCGGTGGTGAGGAACCTTCTGGAATTCAGCCGTCGGGACCAGCGTCCAGTTTACAGGAGAAGGCGGCGTGTCCCGGATGAGCGGAGTCGCCCTCGGTTAAGGGGCGAGGGGGGCCTCGCGGGTCCTTAGCCGGGTAGGAGTCTCCTCAGGCTGGAGGGTATCGGACCTTGTCACGGTCACCTGGAGGGAAGGTCCGGGGAGGGTCGGGGTCACCTGGGGGGAGGGTTCTGGGGAGGGTCGGGGTCACCTGGGGGGAGGGTTCTGCGGAGGGTCGGGGTCACCTGGGAGGAGGGTCCCAGGAAGAGTGAGGTCACCTGGGGGGGCAGGTCCCGGGAGGGTGGGGGTCACCTGTGGGGAGGATCTGGGGAAGGTCGGGGTCACCTGGGGGGAGGGTCCCAGGAGGGTCGGGGTCACCTGAGGGGAGCCGGTGGAACGTGGTCACCTGGAGAAGGCTCATGCTAAATCATTTGTTCAGTGGAGTCACAGAGGTCTACCTTCAGCTGTTGAAAATGAAATCCAAAAATTCTCCATTAATGCAAGAAAAGCAGAAAAAGGGGGCCGATATTCAACATCCTTAAAGAACAGAACCTTCGGCCCAGAATTTCATATCCAGCCAAACTAAGCTTCACAACTGAAGGAAAAATAAAATCTTTTATGAACAAGCAAGAACTCAGAGATTTTATTACCACCAGGCCTGCTTTACAAGAGCTTCTGAAAGAAGCATTACACACAGAAAGAAACAACCAGTATTAGCCTTTCTAAAAATACACCAAAAAGTAAAGAGCACCAACATAAAGAAGAATTTACACCAACACATGGATAAAACAGCCAGTCAACATCAAATGGCAGTAACCCTAAATTTAAATTGACTAAATTCCCAATCAAAAGACACAGCCAAAACTCAACGGCATGTTACATCCAGACCTGTTTCACATGCAAGGATACACACAGACTCAAAACAAAGGGATGGAGAAAGATTTACCAACCAAATGGAGAGCAAAAATAAATAATAAATAAATAAAAAGCAGGAGTTGCAATTCTCATAGCGGATAAAATAGATTTTAAAGCAACAAAGATACAGTGGTAAAAGGATCAATGCAACAACAAGAGCTAACGATCCTAACACCCAGATACATAGAGACTTAGACTCAATGAGACAGAAAATTAATAAGGATATCAAGGACTCGAACTCAGATCTGGAACAAGTAAACTTAATAAATATTTATAGAGCTCTCCACTCCAAATACACAAAATATACATTCTTGTCAATACCACACCACACGTACTCATAGGTTTAAATGAAACATTCATTGGCCATTATTAATACCCATTTTTTTTTAAGAATAAAGCAATATTTCCACTCACTCTCCCTCTTTCTCTTCCTCTTTCTTCCTCTCCTTTACTCATTTTTTTTCTTCTTTCCTTCACTCAAAAAAAAAAAAAAAAAAATCAACTTGTAAACCTCTAGATCCAGGTCGGCAATGTCTCTCTCATTGCTTGAATTCCTTCCTTCCCTTCCCTCCCTCCCTCCCTCCCTCCCCCCCTTCCTCCCTTCCTTCATCCCTCCCTTCAAAAAAAAAGAGAAAAGATGCGAGAGTAGGGAGGGAGAGCTTACCAAATGCCTTTCAACAGCTCTCTGCTCCCAAATGTAAGTACAGCTGACCCTTAAACAACATGATTTAAACTGCTCAGGTCCACTTATATGTTTCTTTGTTTCAACCAAACGCAGATTAAAAATATCCACTTATATGTTTCTTTGTTTCAACAAAACACAGATTAAAAATCCAGTATTTAGGGGAATTTGAAACCTGTGAATACAGAGGGCCAAGCGACTTCTGAGTTGGTGGGTTCCCAGGGCTTCAGGGGACTGCCTCCAGGACCACGTTTGAGTCCACATGGATTTTGGTACGTGCAGAGGTCCTGTGCAGTCGCCGTAGATGCTGAGGGATGGCTGCAGATGGACTGGGGAAGAAGTGACGACTGAACACCGTCCAACTGTAGTATCTGGACTCCAGACCCCAAACCCAGCCCCAATGCCATTAGACAGGACACACATAATCTAAAGCATATACTGTAACGTGGTGCTATCTCTGGATGTCCTGTAGGATTTTTGTTTTCTTCTTTTTTTTTTACTCAATGTATGAGTTATTTGCATAATAGGAAAATCAATGGTATTTAAAATACTGGAGACATTTAACTCGGAAAACAGGCTACTCTGTCTGGGATTCCCTCCTCACATCAACACCTCCTGCAAAAGAGGCAAGGTGCCTTTCTCAGGGGCTCAGCTGGGTTGTGCTGAGCAGGGTCTGGCTGCGGAAGCAGAGAGGAGTGCCTTGCATGCTGCCACGCTGCATCGGGGAGCTCCCGGCCCTCTGGTTCAGGTTCTCTACACCAGGTTCCAGGGATCAGGAAGAAGATCCCCATGGAGATTGCTCCTGCTCAGCCTCCTCAGCAGCTCCAGGGAGTTACATGCTAAAAGAAGGGGGTCCGTTTTTAGATTTCCACTTGGATTCCTACTGCTGAGCTTTTAAGAGAAGTTATGTATATGTGCAGCCTGTCATAAGTTCTTTAGAAATGTCATTCTTGTGTTCAGGTGACACTGTCAGTCAACCTTGACTTTTCCACAGGTGTGTCACAGAGGAGGGACTAAACACATAGCAGTCAACTGTCTGACCATGAACGTGTACAGAGGGCAGATCACTGCTTCTGGGACACAGTGGAGCAGGAAAAACCACCACCTGCTTCATGCTCACAGGAACATGTGTGGGGTCAGCCACCCTGAGGAAGTCCTCAGAAACATCACTGAACGTACCTGGATTTTTTTGTTTCACCGCCTCTCGTTGGAGTTCACTGATATTTTACTATTAAGCATTGCTTGTTGCTTAATAGAAAAATATCAACTGCCTGGTTGTTCATTGACCCTGCGCCAGGAAAAGGAAATCGTTGGCTTTCTGTCAATCTGCAAAACTTTATACCATTCGCTATCAAGGAGCTCTGATCACTCAAGCTGAAGAAACCCATGGAAAAAAAAAAAAAAGAGAACCTATGAACAGTGCTTGGCATTTCTTTCTAGATCTAACCTTCCCGTTACAATGCGGCACCACTAATCTCTCCACACAGTGATCTTTCCATTTGCTTCTGATGGCCACAGGCACTTTTAGAATAATATCTGGTGAATTACTCCAAAATGATTTGTGTTTCAGAGTAATTATTATGCTAAAATAACTGTTTCGTATTCCATCAACTAAAATAATATTTTGTGAAATTTAGAAACTCCTTTATTTAAGAAATGTATATTTATTGAAGTCTTAACATGTGTGAAGCTAGATGCCAGCAAGATGCGCTTTCAACCCACAAGGAGCTGTAACAGCTAACTAGTTCCCCTCATTGCACACAGAACATTGAACTGCTGGGGAGGTATTGCACCTCAAAGTTAGGCTGCCCTGCTGCTCCTCAGATGTGGCTGATGAACCTTACACTGAAGGCATTTGAGGATCAGCAAAATAGTGAAGCTGGACCACAGGTGCCTTTGGCCACCCCCTGGGGCTTTAAAAACCAAATCTCAGCCGGGCGTGGTGGCTCACGCCTATAATCCCAGCACTACGAGGTCAAGAGATCGAGACCATCCTGGTCAACAAGGTGAAACCCTGTCTCTACTAAAAATACAAAAATTAACTGGGCATGGTGGCGCACACCTGTAGTCCCAGCTACTTGGGAGGCTGAGGCAGGAGAATTGCCTGAACCCAGGAGGCAGAGAGGTTGCACTGAGCTGAGATCGCGCCATTGCACTCCAGCCTGGGTGACAAGAACGAAACTCCATCTCAAAAAAAAAAAAAACAAAAACAAAGAAACAAATCTCAGCCCAGCAGGCACTTACCGAGCAGGCTCTGTACCCATCAGGACTGGGGCACAGCAGTGTTTCTGAAAGGATAGTCCCTTTCAGTTATAGACATTGTTGCTTCTGACAGTGTTGACCGTTTAGGAAAGGCCTCTCCCCCATATAGGCCTGTTGAGGTTCTCACTGCCTGAAGGGTGAGCTGGCTAGGCTAAGAGATCAAAGAGCCCAGTCAGATATGTGTGTGAGTTATTCTTCTGTCTCCCCCTCATCCCTCTCCCCAGGGAGCCTGTTCTGTTTACTTCTGGATCCACAGTGTCTGAATAGTATTTGGCACAGAATAGGCATTCCATAAATATCATTGAATGAATGACAGAATTAATTAATATAATTGCAAATATTGCCAAAATGCAGACTGGGAATGATATATCAGAACTCTGCCATGGATTTCCACCAATGGTGACATGGCATTAAAAAAAAGCTAACACTGCCAGGCACGGTGGCTCACACCTGTAATCCCAGTAGTTTGGGAGGCTTGGCGGGTGGATCACGAGGTCAAGAGATCGAGACCATCCTGGTCAACATGGTGACCAGGATATTTTATATTTTATACTAAAAATACAAAAAATTAGCTGGGAATGGTGGCGCACGCCTGTAGTCCCAGCTACTGGGGAGGCTGAGACAGGAGAATTGCTTGAACCCAGGAGGCGGAGGTTGCGGTGAGCCGAGATCGCGCCATTGCACTCCAGCCTGGGTAACAAGAGCGGAAACTCTGTCTCAAAAAAAAAAAAAGCTAACACTGCCCTGGGGAAAGTGTCATCACTAAAGGATGCGTAATGGGATTCAGTAGCCTTGAAGATGCTAAGCTGGGAAGGAAATCTGGCTAATTGCCTAGGACATCGGACACCAAAGAGCTTCTATTTCGTAACTGGTGATAGAAAGGCCCAAAGCTTGGCACAGGCATGTTTTGTATCTTAGGCCCTGCTTCTCTGTTCTGTAAAGTTATGCGGGTTTTTTTTTTTTGGTTCTTTTATGAGTGCTATTTAGTTCTTCTGTTATTATAACTTTACATTAAAAGACCTGTTTTATTTACTATACAATAGTATTACCTTTTCCCCTTTTTACCCCCAATCATGGATGCTTCATTATTCACGGCCAAAATGGAAGATCTGACAACCAGAGGGTAATCTGGCAATAAGTATCCAAACTCTTTCAAGCCTTGTCCTGTCTTTGACCTGCCAAATCTGCTTATATTGATTTCGAATAAGGAAATAATTGGGAAGCAGGCAAAGTCATATCACATGTTTATAATCGTGAAAATTGCAAATAACCTAAGCATCCATGAGTTTGGACTGAATCAAGAAATAGGGTATGTTGATAACAATGAAATATTTTTAGCCCTTAAAGATGATGTAGGGCTGGATGTGACTCATGCCTATAATCTTAGCACTTTGGAAGGCAGAGACAGGTTGATCGCTTGAGCCCAGGAGTTTGAGACCAGCCTGGGCAGCATGACAGAACCCAGTCTCTACAAAAAATACACCCAAAAAATGGTGCACATGTGTAGTCCCAGCTACTGATATGGGAAGATCGCTTGAGCCCAGGAGATCAAGGCTGCAGTAAGTCATGATGACACTAATGCCCACAGCCTGGGCAATAGAGCAAGACCCTGTCTCAAAATGAAAATAAAAAAATGGAGATTGTGTTGATGTGGACAGATGGCCTCAATACATCGTTAAATGAAATAGCCAGTGAGACCAGCCTGGCCAACTTGCTGAAACCCCATCTCTACTAAAAATAAAAAAATTAGGGGGCCGTGGTGGCACATACCTGT